GTACATTTTGACGTTTCGTTGAGCTGTGGTGCCACCTTTCCTACATTTTAATAAAATGGAAATGTGCGATGTCGATTATCGTAACAGCTGCGTTAGAGAATCGCATAATCGTTAGCGCAAGCGACAAAATTCGTAACTTTGCGATCCGACAAATCGTGTCGATAAAAGTTATAGAATTGCACTGCTGTTTTCCTTATTTTAAAGATATTGAAACGATATTGCCTCGATAATTTTCAAATCTTTTGAGTTCACTGAATTGTTAAATAAGAGCCACCACATGTAGTACAATTTCTTAATTGTAAATAATTCAAAAACGTGTATTTGTTACTTAATAAATCAAAATTTACTTTACTATACACAGCTACTTAATTTCCAACATTCATACTGTTACGATTTTACTAAATCAACCTCGATTATTTTCTGAATCCTTCGGGTACGATCTCTGGATTGTTAAATAAAAACTCGCCAACTTAATTTGCAGTTTCTTTCGTTACCAAGATTCTATCTAATGTCCTTTATTTACTCAGTGATTCACAATTCAATTACAAGGCACTTTACTAGCTACAATCACTTGCATAAACTTTTACAATTTACTCTACTTAAATGTTATTCCAACGCGTTTACTTTACGACTTTACTGATGTTAACGCCAACGAGCTCACTTTGTAACTAACTTAACTTGGCAGCTGAGTGTCCCCTTATATAGCAGTCGGCTGCTCGCAGACGAAAGCGTAGAAGCATCGATTTGTTCGCTATCGAAGGTTCTTGTTTTATCGTTTCTAGAATGTACTAGTTATCGGCTTCTCTCTTTCATCTGACATTCGCCTCGCATTTTCGCAACAATGCTCAAAAATTTTCACTTGGTACCCATGTTGTCACCAACGAGTTAACATTGGAACTAATGCTGCAACTACCCAACTCACGTACCAGCCGTCCATAGTAACCTATCTTATGAGAGCACCATGTAATCAAAAATTTCATAATTTATGTGTTCGAATATAAGCGCATTTAGTTTTCATTTCTTTTGAAAAAAACTACGCATTATTTTCGATTATATAATAATACTTTAAGACTGACTATACTGGCAACTTTGTATAGCAACGAGAAATGAGCCCAGCCGGTTTTACGGAAAAATCAAACCGCATTTGTTTCTGCAGGATAACCGTCACTAACGACATGGGACAGCGGTGACAACTTTGTGTTAACATGGCTATGGACGGCTGGTACGCACGTTGAGTAGTTACAGCATTAGCTGGTCTTTCGTCAGTCTGGGTTGGCAAAAAAGTCAAATGAAGGAACTTTGAACTGCTGATCGTAACCCTGCAAGAAGGCTTCCGAACATTTGAGCCAACATATGTCAAGAATGGATGACGACATATCCCGTCAACTCGTAGAACGATTTTCCTATCACTTTCTTAAGGCCGAAATGACAAATGTGATGTTTACGTTTGTATACGAGTACGTCATTCTCTCTCCGTTTCCTCGTTTTTTTTTCATTCTTGTCGGATAAACTGAACACAGCTGAGCGACAGCATTGATACCAAGAGAAAACAATATGGACGTAAAAAACAGCAACAATACCATACAAGCCTAACACAAATGAGTGACAACATTGATGCCGAAGGAAATCAGCTTTGACAAAAATTTTCCCTACATA